TCCTTCAGGCCCTGGTACTTCTCCAGCTTCTCATGCTCCTTCTTCCTGATGTTGCTGTTCCCACTGCAATTCCCACTTCAATACATTTATTAAATAATTCAGCACAGCAAGTTAGAAATGCTTAGTTGTAATTAAAGCAACATAGAACATTAGCCTGACTAACTAAAACTCATCAGACTTTATTACCAAACTTAATCAGGCTTGAGAAGGCTTGTAGGATTTTAGGATACTTGCAGGATGATCCCCTAGACTTTTCACAGCTGGATTTAGTTTTTCTCAGAGAAAAAAAGTGGGTTCACTCAACAGGAGATTTTTTAGTGGAAAAGGAGTAGCTTCCTTATCCAATATTGTTCAGAAGATTAATTCAATAGCTGTTTAGCATAAGGTCCAGTTGTAGGAAAATCAGTCTGTGATGAAGTACATATTCAGTTTTGATTGGTGCATGACTGTTTTTCTTTTTTAAAAAAGAACAAACAAACAAACAAGGTTCTAGTAAGTACGAAACCCAGTCTCTATCCATCACTTTTGACTAGATGCAACAATCTTGTCCAGTCAATAAATATTTGCCTGGAATGGTCTGCTCTGGCTGTTATACTAGCATACCAACTTACAGGTATCCTTGCTTAACTACAGTAAATTGGGACTGTAAAACACGATGTCACATGACCACATTGCTTAGCAACAGCAATCCCAGCAGTCCCCATTGCTGTCATAAAGCAAAAATTGCAGGTCCTTAAGTGAGGACCTAACATGACCGTGACTTGCAACTTCCTGGTGGCTTCCCACAAGCAAAGTTGGGGGGAAGCACGCTGGAAGATGCAAGTCCCAGGAAGCTTGCAATCAGGCCGGAGGCTGGTGGATTCTATGGAGTGAGGCAGGGGTTCTGTGGTGGGTGCATACGGGCTGGGGAGGGGATGCTGCAGCATGAGCATGTTACAGAGTATGAGATCCTGGGATCTCATACTCTGTAGGGGGGTCCTCGGGAGAAAAAGTGGCAGAAGCGACTTACAACCTTCCCTGTTGGTTTCCCATTGACTTTGCTTGTGGGAAGCCGGCAGGGAAAGTTACAAATCATGATCACATGACCAGAGGACACTGCAGCTGTCTTAAGGGTAAGCCAGTGGCCAAGTGCCTGGATCACAGTCACATGACCACAGGGGTGGCATGATGGCCAGAACTTCAAGGACGAATTGTAAGTACCACTCATTCAGCACTGTCACAATTTCAAACAGTTGCTGAATGAGTGGTCGTCAACTGAGGACTACCTGAACAGTAAAACCTGTATAATACAGATACTTCAGACAATTTGGATTAATTTTTAAACTAAAGTTCCAAAACTTTGTTGTTGGTGTTTTTTGTTTGTTTGTTTTTGTTTTTGTCACAAGAACATAGAAGCTTTAATAGAAAAACAAAGCAATCAGCAACGATGTCTGATTTCACATATGGAAGACTCCTCTGATTTTTGGCACCATCATTTCACTTCTGGAAGAATCCTCTGAAGTTTCCCAACATTTGTAGAGCTACTGAGCAATTCCTTCCATAGATATCCACACAGACACACACAAGGTGATTTCTTAATGCACACATAAAGAAACAGCTTTTCTGCAGCTGTAGTTTGTCCACCTGACAATTTTAACTTCTGCATGGAAGAAGGTTCTGTTCTTCCAAGGAAGAAATATCTATTCTGGTCCTTAAGAATATTACAAGTGAGACTGTGAAATTACTTACTTTTATCAAGCTCAACAGTTCTTGAGATAATATCTAAACTTCCCTGTTCTATCAGCTTGATAGCAACAATTATGCAATTCATCACTGCCCAGCTTTACTTCTGCTTGAGAGAGAAACAGAACTCCTTGTCCAAAACAAAATGAAGGGGAAATATCTGCTAGATGATTATTAGATAGGAAAATGTATTTTATTCAAGTTGTAGGCTGAGGTGCTTGAATTACTTCAAGAATGATGTGGACCAATGATTATTTCCAAATGCTAAGCAATTTACATTTAAATGTATCAAAGTATACATTCATATATAAAACAACCCGCCAAAACCCAACAACTCTTAGCAATATATTCCATACATTTAAATGGCTATAATTCTGAAAAATTATGTGAAAACAGGGTTCTGAATCACCATATGCGAATATGCCCAATATTTATTTTCACGGGGAATTTTCCAAGCGATAGAGGAGAGTTCAGGGCTGCTATTTTTACTCTTCTAGTATAGAGAATCAATGATCCACAAGTTTTATAAGCAAATGTTCTTTCTAATGGCAGTTTCAGCTAGGCTTTCTTTGTTTTCTGCTAGGAAGAAAAACCAAACAAAGCTGCTGCAGGTTGTGTCTCTGTCGTGGTAGCGCTCTGAGCTGGGGCTAAAGACAAGAAATGAAATATGCCAGTGCTGAGGAAGATAGTTTTGTGAAATAGGAAGCCCTTTTCCCTCCTTGCAGGAAGGATCTAACAGCTGTTTGGCTGAACTGCTATTTGCAGTTCACTCATTCACCATGCGGGTGGCTAAATGCCTTTCTTGACATTTTCCTGAAAGGCAGTAAATTTCTTTTTCAGCGCATGGGGCAGTGATCAGCAGTTCTTACAGACTAAAAGGAAAACATTGACTTTTCTATATGTCAGGTTCCACATAGCTGGGAAGACCAAGGATACCCAACCACACAGATTTCAGGAGGGTATCTTTCATGCTAGTTCTGGGATGAAAACAGAAACTTGAAAACTGTAAGAGTAAATTCTCACCCAGATTTATAGTGAGTTAATAAAGGTGGAATCTCTTTGAAATGCTTTCTTCCCACAGATCTCACCTCTGGGTTGTGTTGTCTTTTCTCACCTAGACTGATCTCCTCCTCTGCCTTCCTTCCTGCAGTCTATAGTGAGAACACTATACAGGTTTCAATGCAGGTCTCATAATCTGTAAATGCATTGACCATATCAATCCTGTTGGGGATTAGGAAAACCATTAAAACCGGGCTGTTCCAGGGGCTGACCTGATTTAAGTCTGTCCTACAGTAAAGTTATGACTTATATAAAGTTCAGATTTTAGCAGCTATTCAGATATGCCTTCCTTTTTTCTATATGCTCCCATACTGGACAGTTTGGGGGATTTTTATTGGTCTGGGGCTCATGACTGATCCCCTTAAGGCAGGGGATTATATAGCTTTAGATGTTATATTAGCTACTGACCAGTTTCATTCTTGTTGGGACTCTTCAGTATCCATCTGATAATGTGAAGAAGAAGGGCTAGACACAGCTGAAAAGTGCTCCTTGCCTCCTGTTGTGTGGCACCTGCAACTGTAGGTCCAGCAAGGATGAAGCAAAGAGAGTCCTTCATCCTGGGCACTGTAGGAGGAGAGCTGTGCTGTCTACAGTGGCAAAAACTCAGAAGAAGTCTAATAGCACCTTTTATGACTAACAGTTTTATTACCATTTCATTAAACAGGCATAAGCTTGTGCAAGCTGCAATTCACTTCATCAGATGCATACAGAGCCTAGACCATGTAGGTTTTAAATTGGACTAAAGTGATTGGGAAAGGTATGGGGGGAAAGGAAGGGAATTACAGCTTGGTTATGCAGATGCAGATTACATTTGTACGGATTACAAGTACCTCATCAAGTACCTTATCAATTAACAATTATAATGTGCTTAAAAATCCCTTGGGTTTGTTGAGACCCTCTGAGATTGACTGAAACCTGTTGATATATGTGAGTTCAACAATGTTTTGCTCAATGGCGTGGTTAAATCCCATTTTTCCAAACCAGTCACTCTATGGTCTGCCATAGAGTGCCCTGGGAGGCTCCTTGCCCTTGTTTTGAGACCTAATGCCAGATTTGTGTCCTTAATTCTTTTGCACAAAGTTCTACATAGAATCCAGAGGGGCTTTGCTGGACAATGATGACATATAACACATTGGAGGAAGACCATGTGAAGGTGCCTCTAATCTTGTATGTGTACATGATGGTGCTGTTGAGGTAGATGTGGGGGCATAATAGATGTATGGGTTTGTCGCAGTGTCTGGTTCCCATGTTGACATCATTGTCCTGCTGTTTCTTGTTGCTTGTGAGAATCTGATTCAGGTTGGATGGTTGTCTGTATGCAAGTATGGACCTGCCACCAATGCCTGAGGAAGTACAGTGTCATTGTTCAGTATAGGCAATAGCTTATTAGTAATGAATTTGAGTGCTTTGAGCTGTGAGTTGTAGATGACAATCAGTGGTATTCTGTTGTTCTGTTTCAGCAGTCTGTCTTTTAATAGGTCCTCGCTGGGAATTGATGTAGCTATATTGATTTGTCTATTGATCTCTTTGGATAGATAGTTCAGTCTCCTGAATGCCTGATTTAATTCCATCAGTTGAGTATCTCTGTCAAATGAGTCAGAACAAATGCATTTGTAGCACAGAGTCTGGCTACAGATTATAGATTTGGGAGCATGTTCTGGGTGTAGCTGCAAACACATTAATATGCATGATGACCTATAGGTGTCCAGTATAATGTGGTACATTATGTAGTTTTACTGTAAACCAAGAAAATCGATCTGTTCTAAATATAGGTTGAAACTGAGGCTGATGTTGATGGTAGGATGGAAGCTGTTGAGATCATGATGAAATTTGATGAAAGATTCATTTCCATGAGTCCAAATGATGAAAATGTCATCAATGAGTCTCAAGTAAAGGAGGGGCTTCAAGGGAGTAAGAATTGAGAAAGTATTATTTTAGGTCAGCCATGATGATATTAGCATTTTTCCCCTTCAAGATGGTGTTGGAGGAGCAGTCCCATCAGTAAGCCCTACTGAAGCACTTGTTTTAGTTGGCTTTTAGTGATTATTTCCTGAACCCTTTATTTTATTGTATCCTATCTTTAGTTCATTTTTTCTCACCCTACTTCAATATTTTACCTATCATACAAACCTAAAACTCTGCCCTGCAACTCAAAGGTTCCTAGTGTTATGGAGAAAAAAAGAGGCATAGAACCAACCCTGGAAGCCTGAAATCAGCCTTTACCAACTAAAGATAAATGAGCTTCTCACTAGACTTCTATGCAAGATTTTATCTCCTGGAAGCCTGTGAATTTGAGAATAGATTCAAGGTCTTTTCCCAGCAATCTAATGAAGCATTGGGGTCCTCTCTCTTAAAGGAAGACAATGGATTCCTCTGGAGTGATGACATTTAGGAAAGCATTGTATCTGATAAGTGTGCTACCCACCACAGAGGTAGTATCTGAACCTAGTCCCCTAATGAGTTTCTGGCTGATGAACTAAGTAAAACCTTCCTCATATGTTTTAATTAAATATTGCCTTCTTTTCTGCCCAGACTGTTATAGTTCTGTTTGAGCATTATTGACTATTTCTGTTTAAATTGACAACCTAAGAAAACATTTGATGCTCATGTAGACTCTCTCCAAGGGATAAAGATAAGGAAAGCAGATTACTTTCACAGAGCTCCTATGCCAGAGAGGTGGGGTGAAAGCAGAAAATCAGTGCTTACGCAAACCCAGATCATAAACAGGTTTTTTCCCGTACTTATCAACAGATAGTTTTGTCTGTTCTTAATAACAATATTATTGCAGGAAGATAGGCTACTAGAGGCTCTGTTCATTTTTCTCTAAGCGAGTTGCTTTGCTGCCAGCTCTACACCATTGATATTGTGCAGATTAATTGGCTTCCTAATATGAATGACAGAAAAAAGCTCCATTTTTTTTCACTAACTCATTAGTACCATCAATGCTATTAAAAATGAGTTCCTTTCTGAAATCTTTTGGAATCTCCCCATTCAGGTGTTTATCGATCTAGATATGACATCTGTTTTAGACAATATTGCATCAGCTCATTCACTCCAAAATATTGTGTCCAATTTGGCAGCTACCACACTTCCTCTGTCTTACCTCCATTCTTGACAGTAAAGAAGTGTATCCAAACATTCCAACAGCATTAGGAAACATTACTGGGCCTGGTCAAAAGTGAACTGATTAACTCCTGCAGTACAATGGCCAAAGATGGACAGTCAGAGATTTTATCTAAAATTGAAGCTTACAGAAACAATGCAATTAATTCAGGAGACAGCAAAGCCCTTTGCCTCTTTAGTGTGCATAAACAAAGAATGATTTTGTCTACAATACACAACTAATGACAACAGAGAAAAGACCATCAAACAAGGACATGATTTTTTGACATGTATCAAGGATCTTGAGAAAGATGCCCAAATGGCCATATCGTCTAACCTTCACATAAGATGCCTGCCCCTCTCTTATTGTAATCTTTGAAAGGAAGATGAATTATTCCCAAGAAACCAATACTGCCTTCAGCCTTCCACCTGATCTTATTGAGGATCCTGTTGGTAATATTTACCATCTGATCTACCCTAACATTTTATTTCCTCAGGCTTGGCTTCTCAGTTGATACACCATGACCTGGGTCTTCCTACTTCCTCCTTTTTCAAACAGATCCTGGAAGACTTCTAACCACATGTTCTACTATTGGACTATATTGCCTGCTCAACTATCTCAACCTATCAAGAAAGACCTTCCCCTTAGTTGATCCAATATCATAATCAATCTTCCAGCTGATCGAGCAAAGGCCAAAAGGGCCCCTTTTCCTGGAACACTGCTGGCTGGAACTCCAAAAGAGATGATCCATATTTTTTAGACTTAATTAGTAAATATGATTTCATTTTGTTACGGGAGATTTGGTCTCTAGAGCCCCCATTATTGCAAGACTAATTGGTTCACTTTCCTAATACTGTTTCTGTTGATACAGAGGTTCAGCCTTAAGGAAGCATCTGTACTTTTATATTAAATATTCTGCTGTTCCCAATTTCTCAGCTGGAGGCAGATGAGAAAAAGGCATTAGCCTCTAGGGTTAACTCAGCAGAACATGATTTCTTAATAAATGTTTACTTTCCTCCTTGTAAGTTGCTTTCCTCAACAAATACCAGGTTTGCTTTCCTCAACAAATACCAACCCTCAACAAATACCAGGAATTACCTGACACAGCTCACCTGAGGTTATCCAAAAGCTGGCCTCTTATTAGCAAGTGACTTGAATGCCAGCCTCAGCTTCACTGACAAAGCCTTTTACTCAGTTCAACAGCCATGTTTCCCAAACAGAAGGCCACCCCAGAGCCCAGGTGTTCCACTCCAGTGATCAGGGCATGAACCTAGCATATGGCCCTTAAGAAGCATCGCCAGAAGATTCAATATCCGTATATTAAATATTAAATAGGGGAGTAGATGTTGTCCTGATTGATGATTACCTCCCAAGGATTAGAAGGTCTGACAAAATGGCAAGAGTTTTAGTTAGAATGACAACTAATTCTTGCCTCGGATCGGATCCTTGAGCTCCAAAAGCTCCTGACTGAGAGCTCAAATTCTGCAGAGGTTTTTATTATGTATAACACAATGACACACAAGTTTCAGAGGTCATTATCCACACAACAGCATGAGTAAACCTCCACACTCCAGACAGAAACTCTGGTTTGATCTGACCTGTTTACAAGCCAGGGCAGGTTTAGTGGCAGCTTTTCAATGTTATAAATCTAGTAATTGACCTGTCACTAGGAATGGATTTCTAGATCTTAAGGGAAGCTATAAAAACCTAATGAAAAGAAAGAAACAAATATACACACAAAGCAACTGGGAATGACTTTTCCAAGCTACAAGAGACAAAAATCATACTCTCTTTTGGAAGATGATTGCAAGCATCTCAACTAATAGGTCATGCTGGCCAGAAGCTAAGATTCCATTAAAGAAGTGGGTAAAGTTTTATAGCCAATTATACAGATTCCCCTTCCATCAGCTTTTCATTTCAACATAGTTTGCTAGGTAATATTCATCTTTGACCACCAGTCTCCCAGATGAAAACAAATTGATTAATCAACTAAAAAATAGTAAAGCTGTTGGCAGTGATTTGAAATCCACTGAATTGTTAAAAAGTGTTGCTGACTGGTGCGCCTTTCCTCTGGCCTCCTTATTTACCCATATCAGTGATAACTTTCATAAGCCTGAAGACTGCACCCATTCTATTACTGATCCACTGTTTAAACAAGGTAATAGTAAGGACCTTTCCAGTAACCCTCCAATCACTCTTCTAAACCTCATACCCACTTCCTATTTTACAAGCTTCTCAATTGGTTAGAACAGGAGAAATTCCTCACTGATGAACAGGCAGGCTTTAAGGAGGGCAGATCAACCATGGATCAATATGCCCTCCTGCAGTTTTTGGCAAAGTAATATACATACACATACCCCTGCTCCTTATATGCTGCTTCTATTGAGCTAAAATCAGCATTTGATTTCATATCCAGAGAAAGGCTCTGGTGGAAGCTGTCTCGGTCATCCATAGACTGGAGGCTACTCTGTCTAATCAAGATGGTGCATCCCAATGTTGTCACACAAGTTAGATCCAGAGTAATGGCCACCTTTCTGCAAATATTCTCATCCAGAAAAAAAGTGAATCAGGCCTACGTCTCGGCTCCTCTTCTTTTCACTATATATGTCAACTCAATGATCACCACTCTAACCAAAGCAGGATTTCAATCCCTGTACTTCACAGACAGTTGCCCATTCCCCATCATGCTAATAATATGGTTATTCTTTCTCTCCCTTGGTCTAAGACATTTACAGACTTTAATAGATGTTGGAATATTGATAAGCCATGGCTGCCCATGACTATACCACTGATTTACAGGTACATGTTGTTGCCAAGGGTGAAGCAATTATGGCTGAATATAAAGTCACACCATCTGATGGCAATGCATGCTGTTTTGGCATCAGCCATGATGTTCTTGATTGCTTGAAGTTCAGGTTTGGCAGGGAAATTGGTATATAGTGCCTCAGCATCCATGATGGCTATGGTGGTAGTATAAGGGAGATTGCCTATGGAGTTTAGGAAGTCTGTGGTATCTCTTATGTAGCTGGGAATATTGATGGCATAATATCTGAAGACATCCATGAAACTTGATATTCCAGTTGTGATAGTCCCAGTGCTTGAGGCAATAGAATGGCCTGCATTGCCTGGTTTCTGTGCTTTGGGAAGAAGGTAGAAGATGCCTGTTGAGGGCTTCTGAGATATTTCCATGTAGGCACCTCTTGTATGTTCTTTGGAAATTCTTTTATTAGACTGTGTAGTTCTCAGTGTGATGTTGGAGAGTTGCTCATACCATATTTTATACCAAACAAAATCAAGGCAGGGTTCTTTTGAGTTTCTTTCTCACACTTCCCTCTTTCTTAGGACTGAAAAAATCTTTTCTGAAACTCCTCTCTTAATGGTTCACTCAATCCTTCCCCATTCCCAAGGCCAGGTCTACATTCTTTCAGAGTCTGGCCCTGCTGGTTCTTAGAGATCACTTTAAGTCAAAAAAATTTAGCCACTTTAAGGCTAAAAAAAAGTTTCTGACAAGCTTTACTTCCTTGGACTTTTATTTCAATTAGGCTTTGAAAATGCTGGAGGCTTTCTGAAACAGCGTATCTGGGACATTGATCTTCAAATTAATTTTGAAGCTTAATTTTGTGCTTCACACACACACACACACACACACACACACACACAGGGTGTACCAAACATCAAGCCCTCTAGACCAATCACAATATGTTTTGTTATTATTTTTTTTTTTTAACAAATAAAATGTTACCGTACTTAGGACTGTTCAAAGAAAGTCAAGAGTTGACTTCATCA